TCCCCTTGATGCAGTACAGATTCAAGTCCTGCACAGAGAGAGAGGGTTCTTGACTGAGTTCAGGAAAGAATTTAAGCACTGACCAGAGCTAGAGACAAAAGGAAAGTTTATTAGAAAAGGAATAATGCTCCACAGACAAAGCATGGTCTTCTCTCAGAGATGAGGAGAGAGCTGAGAGGGGCAGAGAGACAGACATAACATGCACACATTGAGAGGACTGAGAAAGACTGAGAGGGAGAGTGAGAGGGGCTGAGAGAGAGAGACAGAGACAGAGACCCCAAGTGTTCTGGGAATTGTTTATATATCATTCTTGGTTTCTACGAATTACAGTTTAAAGACTTTATTTACCTGTTTTCCTTTGACGATAGGGTATGTAGCGTGAAAGGCTGAAAGGCGTGGGTATGCGATGTGAAAGGTGTGCTAGCAATCTCAGCCTTTGTTCCATAGGTTCCCTATGGTTCTGGCTGTAGGGAATGAATGGTTGGGTTTATTTTGAGTAGGGTCCATGACTTAAAGACTCTATTTTCCTGTTTTTCTTTCACACTATAGGTGAATGGTTTGTTAGTAATTCCAGCAGAAATGTTTCCCGTGGTCTGGCAGCAGCACATTGTAGGCTCTGGTTTAACATTTAGTTAATTTATGTAGGTCTTATGCCTCTTCCCCAAAGAAGCAGACATTTGGGAATAACAGACTTTTTCCTAAAGTTTAGGTAGATAGAGGAGAGTTATCTTAAAGAACGACAGAACAGAAAAACTTAAGATTGATTGATTGTTAGACGTTCTTATTCCTGAGTCTCTTGATGATTTCCCTTGGGTGGGGCAGGGGGAGCTTCTCACTCCTAGTCCCTCCCACTTCCCAGGGTCCTTCTTTTTAAGTTTTTTATTAGAAATTGTTTTTCTTTATTCTTTTTCTTATAAAAATATATATAACATAGAGTTGATCGTTTTAACCATTTTTAAGTGTACAGTTCTGTAGCATTAAGTACATTCCCGATGTTGTATCTATTTCCATCATCTGAAACAGAAACTCTGTTCCTGCTAAGCAGTAACTCCCTTGCTCCCTCCTGCGCCCTCTGGTCTCCAGCACCCTCGTTTCATTACCGTTCACTCCTTTCCTGTTCATACTGCGCAGTGTAGGGATCCTCCCCAACCAGCCTGGTTCCAGGCCAGCCATTTGATGGCATAGCTATGCCTCCTTAAACAGAAAGATATAGAGTGTTCTGGGGCTCCAACTTCATCAGCTTAAAGCACATTTTTAGTTCTGCTTTGAAATCACAAACTCCTATGGGATATGATTAAATTCTCAGGCAAGGCTTCCTTTCTCACTAATGTCTGTAAGTGGGGCCATAAAAAGATATTTCCTTTCAGAGATAAATCATACGTCCCCCTTAAGAGGCAGGTATAGCTGCACTAATTTTTTTTTTTTTAAATGAGTTTGATGGTATTACTCTTCCTTTTATCTGGGACGGTACATGATGTGACATCTTTTTTATAGTTTTTTAATAAACATTCATAATTTTTCCTTTAATAAACAGTAAAAACAATACATTGAAAAGTGCATTGTATAGATACCTAGCACATTTGTGAAGTGAACATTTGTCACTTAACTGGCACATGTTGGACGGTGCTTGTTAGAGTAAGTTAGAAGGGGAAAAAGAAAAAAAAGCATAGGAAATAAAAGAAGCACCAAATCTGTACTAATTTTTTTTTTTTTTACGTCTACAGTACTTGGTCTTCCTAGGTGGTCTCCCATCCAAGTACTAACCAGGCCCAGCCCTGCTTAGCTTCCGAGATCAGATGGGATCGGGCATGTTCACAGTGGCATGGCCATAGAAATCTGTAATAATTTTTTACAGCCTTTCCTTCTCTACCCCTCCACCCCTCGTTGCATCTATTCGTGTTATTAAATTTAATGTTTATTTTCCTTATTAGGTTATAACTTCCATTCTCTTGCTTTCTACATTAACATCTGGCATAGCGCCTGACTCGTAACAGGCACACAGTATATATTGAACAAGTGAATGAACGAATACACGAATGAATAGGTGGTTTATAGGAGAACCTTGTGGCTAGGGACTTTGCAATATCACCGTCTAACAACTTTTTTTCTTCCTGAGAAGCAGATAGAAAACAATAGACTGAGTTTGTTATCTCACAAGGATGACAGCCCAGGACCATATGTTTCTTTCCCAAATGATAAACTGCTTTTGACAGCAAAGGAAGCAATTATGTAGCATTTTCATGTTTCCTGCTACAAGGCCTCCTGTCTTAAGTTAGGCTGGCTTGCCTTCAACACCACTATTCTGGATAGGAATGATCTTTCCCCTCAGTGTTCTGAAAAAGGGCAGAGTTGTGACTGGAAATTGCCAAAGGCCTATGATTTCTGCCCTTAGGAAAGGTGAGTGAAGTGGTCAGAACTCCTCCCCTCTGTGAAACAATAACCTGGGTTTACAAAGCCTCCTAATGGAATGACACCTTCTGTATCTACTCCAATTATACAGCCACGCTAGCTTGAGGGTCCAGAAGTATTTGGACCAGTAAAGACTCCACATTAAGCTAGAGCTGGGAACA